CGGTTTTAAAGGGTTAAAGAATGAGCTTTTGGGTAAAAATACTCCAACATGCCTGCTAGTTAGCGCCTCATTCCTTCTTCAGCTTTGGCAAATGGCTTCTGGGTGTAAAATTCTAGCTCAGAATTTATCTGGTGTTAACATTCACATCTTATCACTCCTTCTTGCTAAGCTGCAGACATGTGGGCTTCTCTCCCTTCACAGATGACCTGGTTCAAGGGCTGGAAGATCAACCGTAAAGATGGAAGCGCCTCAGGCACCACACTGCTCGAGGCTCTGGACGCCATCCAACCTCCAACGCGTCCGACCGATAAGCCCCTCCGCCTGCCTCTGCAGGACGTGTACAAGATTGGAGGTGAGGCTGTAAGGATGAAGTGTTGATTGTTCCAGAATATGTATGAAAATAGGAATGAGATCACCTTGTGATAAAAACAGAAGCTGAATGAGGTCTGAAGAAATTCCCTTTGGTTCATTCTGACCTAAATGCTGAGGCTCAGAAGTATGCGACTTTAATCCATGCAGGTCTTCCACACAGCTGTAAAGTTGCTAACCTGCCTCTCCTCCAGGCATCGGTACTGTACCCGTGGGTCGAGTGGAGACCGGCATCCTAAAACCTGGCATGGTGGTGACCTTTGCCCCCGTCAATGTGACCACTGAGGTGAAATCTGTGGAGATGCACCACGAGGCCCTAACTGAGGCCCTGCCCGGTGACAACGTGGGCTTCAACGTCAAGAACGTGTCCGTGAAGGATATTCGCCGTGGCAACGTGGCCGGAGACAGCAGGAACGACCCGCCACAGGAAGCAGCTGGCTTCACTTCTCAGGTGTGCTGTCAGTAGTGCGAAATGCACATCCTTCCTTCTGTTCCTCTCCAGGTTTACAAATAATATCTGTGTCTGCTGCCCTGCAGGTGATTATCCTGAACCACCCTGGTCAGATCAGTGCAGGATATGCCCCCGTGCTGGACTGCCACACTGCACACATTGCGTGCAAGTTTGCTGAGCTGAAGGAAAAGATTGACCGTCGCTCTGGTAAGAAGCTCGAGGACAACCCCAAGTCCCTGAAGTCTGGAGATGCCGCCATCGTTGATATGATCCCCGGGAAGCCCATGTGTGTGGAGAGCTTCTCTGAGTACCCGCCGCTCGGTAGGTTTTTTTTATCCTGAAACTGGATTTTGTGGATCAAAATTGTAGCTTTGACTGTGAATTCTCCAAACTTTAGTCTCCCTGACAGTAAGAAATTAGTTTTCAATTCAAACTAAAACCAGATTATTGGCGATGCCTGTAGAACATGTACTGAAGGCTTTGTCCCAACTGCAGATGCCTGAGTTCGATTCCAGCTCAAATAATCTCTATTCACCCCACAGTTATCTGTCACTGTCTAATAAAGGTGAAAAGGACAGAAATATATCTTAAAATACCAAATTTATTATTTGCATAAATTCAATGGATATTCTAAACTTGATCATATAGGTGAATATTAAAA